GCGAAGCAGAGAGAGAGAATTCGTACCTTTACTTCGGTAGAATAAGTGATTAAGGGTCGAGACTGAAGAGGAACAATACCAAAACGTTAAGAGATGAATCAATCTTAAAAAGTACGACTAGCTGAAGTGAAAAGCTTATGAACGGAAACTTTGATCTTGATCCAGGTGAAGAACCTGGAAAAGACAATGAAATGATATACGAACACCAGAAAAACAGCAGAAGACGAGACAGTGATAGCGAAGATTGCCCATACACCAAACAAGCAAGAAACGAAGAAACCGGCAAACAGACCACGGAGAACCATACCTACGGAACAGTAACTCAAGGTACCTCAAGAAAATGTTATTCTAATACAAAAACAAAATCAAATACCTCAAACTTCAACCATCCAATAAGGTTAACTGAGGCCATAAATAAATCAATTTTTCAAAATACATAATTGAAATTCATTAAGAGTAATAGGAGATGGAAAAGCCATTAGATTCGAGGTAGTAGATATATCAAAAATTGGACCTCTCAATGAAATTAAATACCTAGGCAACTGGGAAATAAACTGTAAGCAACCTGCATCAAATAAAGATCAAGGATGCTCCTATGGAACAATATCCCCAGTAGAAACAGATATAGAAATAGAAGAAATCAAAGAAAAAACCAAGATACTATGGGGGCCAGATACATACATAAAAGATATAACAAGGATTCATAAACCAAGTAAAATATCAGGAGAAAATAAATGGATTCCTACTAAATCCCTGAAAATAACATTCAGAGGTCCATTACCTAACAAATTAACAATAGGTCATATAAGTTATAAGGTATATCAATACACATTCCAATATCCAAATTTAAGTGTCTAATGTATGGCCATGGGTTGATATCATGCAAAAACAAAATAAGATGTAGTAAATGCAGCCAAAAAGATCACAAATATAAAGATTGCAAAAATCCACCTCATTGCTTTTTCTGTAAAGGTAACCACACAGCATACGATAAAACTTGCCCAATTCATCAAAAAGCCCAAGAAATAAACAAAAAAAACACACACCAAATAACTTAGAAGTAAAAAACTTTTCCATCACTTAAACCCAACAACACAAAAACAGAATCAACCAATACAAAAAACATAATAATTACCACAGCAGAAATACACAACTCAGAAACAGATTACAAACAACAAACAGATGATAACACAAACACTATACAACAAACAAACCCAAACATAACACAAACATATGCTAAAATACTAACACAAACAAATAACATAACACCAGCACAAAAAACACCCACAAACAAAAAAAATAACACAAACAGAGCAGAAAATACTCCAACTCAATCAACAAAATCAAAACAAAAAACAGTCAAGAAAAACAAAAGAACAAACACACACAAAGGAACAAAACATAAAAGACAAGAAACTCACAGAATCCCCCATAACATGGTCTCTACCAACACACTAAACAAAACCCCAACAATAAAAGAAAAGAAGAAGAAAGAAGAAGAAGAAGAACAAAAACAAAGAAGAAAAACCTTCATTTGTTGAAATAACAAAAGGAATTTTCAAATTAATAACTAATATAACCGAAAAATTCAAATCAGACAAAACAATAATTGAAATAATAACAGAGATAATAACTGAAGTTGCTCCAATATTAAAACAAATATCAGTTTGGTTTAATGACTAAAACAATACTATGGAACGCTAGATCTGTAATAAACAAAAAATAGATATAGAATATCTAATTCAAACAGAAAACCCGGAGATATTCGCAATTTGCGAAACTTGGCTTACAAATAATGACAAATTTGATATAAAAGATTATGATATCATAAGAAATGATAGAATAGAACAAAGGGGAGGCGGCTTAGCAATTTGTATAAAAAATGATATACAATACAAGAAGATTAATCTAAATGAATTACAAAATAAAAACATCGAAACATTAGCTATAAAGATTAGCTATAAAAGAGGATGGCTACACTTACTTTTAATATACAACCCATGTAACAAAGTAAATCAAAAAGATATGGAACACTACATAAACCAAATAGAAAAACCAAAACTCATAATAGGAGATTTTAATGCCCATCATCCGCTATGGAATTCAAAAACAAACCAAAATATAACAATATCACTGGAATAAACTTGTTTAATTTAATAAATCAAAATAACATACTGATGTTAACTCCAAAAGGACAAATTACTAGAATAGATCCGAAAACAGGTAAAGGGTCTACAATAGACCTAGTTCTGGGCACCCAGAACTGAGTAAATTAGAAGTAGAAGCAAAAATATATGGAGGAAGCGATCACCTTCCAATCATAATAAGAGACATTAATCACAATAGAGAAACAATAGTTAAAGAGGAAAAATGGAAATTCAATGAAGAAGGATGGATAAAATTTAAAGAAGAAATACAAAAAATAGATGTGGACAATATAAAATCACTGAACGAAATAACAGAAATAAAAAAAATAGGGATGAAACATTTCAGATTAAATAATGATAATAGTAAAAATAAACCAACAAAACCATGGTGGAATAAAAATGTAAAGAAGTAATAAAACAAAGAAACAAATCATTCAATAAATGGAGAAAAAATCCTAATGAAAAAAACAGAATAGAATACAAAAACTTCAAATAATAGCAAGAGATACAATAGAAAAGGAAAAAGAACAAGTTGGTCAAATTTCTGCCACTCATTAGATTTTAGAACCCCAACCAAAAAAATATGGAATTTATTAAGAAACTTTCAGGCAGTAATAGAATAAATAATTACCCGCTAATAGATAATGATCAGCCAATACAAGAAACAAAAAAGAAATTAAAACTCTTAAAAGAAGAATTCCAAAGTATAATAAACACAAAAACAAAATGCTTAATAACAAAATCAGAATTTAAAAGTTTAATAGAATTGCCAAGTACGAACGGATTAAAAAAGGAGATAACATTAAAAGAATTAAATTTCTGTAATAAAAAAGACAAAAAATAATAAAGCTTGTGGCCCAGACAGTATCCCTTATGAATTTTATAAAATATCCCAAATAACCTACTGGAAAAAATTTTAAACATCTATAATCAGTTGTGGATAAAAGGAGAATATCCTATAGAATTCAAGAAATCACTTGTAAATCCGATATTAAAACCGGATAAAGATCCAGCAAATAAAAAATCATATAGATTCATAAGTAGAATCTCATGTATAGGGAAAATGCTGAAAGCATAATCAACAATAGACTAATATGGTGGCTTGAAAAAAATAACAAACTAAGTCAAGACATAACAGGTTTCAGACCCAATAGCTCAACAATAGATACATTACAAATAATCGATTTTCATATTAAAAAAGCTTATAAAGAGAAAAAATATGCCCTAATAGCATCTCTAGATTTAGAAAAAGCTTTTGACAAAGTAAACCATGATGCAATAATAATAAAAGCAGCTAAACTAGGTATAACGGGTACTCCTCTCAGATGGATATCTAATTTTTTAAATAATAGATCCTACCAAATAATAATAGGAAACCAAAAATCCGAGGAAGGAGGAATAAGTAAAGGACTTCCACAAGGATCTCCATTAAGTCCATTACTATTCAACATAATGATGTCAGATCTAAATCTAACAGTAAAAACCAACAAAATAATATATGCAGATGACATAAATATAATAACAATAAATGAAAATCTAGAAGAAGCAAAAATAATCTAGAAGTAGGATTAAATAAAATAGTAAAATGGGCTAACGACTGGGAGCTTAAATTAAATTTAACTAAAAGCAAAGTAATGTGCTTTACAAAAAAAAGAATAAGACAAATACCAATAATAAAAATAAATAATGAAGAACTAAAATTCACAAATAAACATACAATCCTAGGACTCGAATTCGACGCACCAAAACTAAAGTGGAAAAACCATATTAATAACTTGAAAATTAGATGTACAAATAGAATAAACATAATGAAAAAATTATCAACAACAACATGGGGAGCAAAAGAGAGACAATGATAAAATTCTATGATATCTACATAAAACCAAAAATAGAATATGGTATAACAATTTATGGAACAGCAAATGACACAGAAATAAAAAAAATTGAAACAGTTCAAAATGGAGCTTTGAGAATAGCCACTGGATGTTTAAAGACCACTCCAATAAATGCACTCTATGCCCTAACAAATAAAATGTCGATCAAAAATAAACTAAAAGAAAAAGAATTCACCCAAATGTTAAAAATACTAGAAAAAAAGAAAAACACAAATAAAAAAAATGTTAACAGAAAATATAAAAGAATATAACCCTCAAAAGGATAAAAATAACTTAATCCATAGAATAATAGAAACAAACAAAGAATTGCAAGTGAAAATAAAGATAAAAACAATGTCAAACATAACCCCTATTCCACCTTGGTTTGATATACAAAAAATATAGAAACAAAATTCTTAGATGAGCAAACAAAAAATATCCCAGAACAAATAATAAGAGCACAATATATAATGTTAGAAAACACACGATATCGAAATTATAAAAAATTATTCACAGATGGCTCGAAAATAAACAACGATTCCACATCAGCAGCAATATACATACAAGATAACAATATAACAACAATATGGAAACTACCAAACAATACAGAAATAATAGAAGCAGAACTCTTTGCAATAAAACAAGGGCTAAAATACATACAAAATAACAAATTATCAAAATCAGTAATATTTACAGATTCTAAATCTGCACTTCAACTAATATCAAACCCGAAACCTAAGAATTCTAAAAGTATGACTTTTGAAATACAAGAATTGATATATACAATGGTAAATCAAAATCAAATAATAATGTTACAGTGGATACCTTCACATAAAAACATAAAGGGAAATGAAATAGTAGATCAAGCAGCTAAAAAAAGCACACAAAATAAGATATCCCATAACCATACATGAAGACACAAAAAAACAGATAAAACAGATGAAAAAAAAAACCAGAGAAACTGGAAAACTCAGTTAAATACAATTCTTAACACAAAGAATTATCTATTGCAGAACACAGAACCGCAGCCATGGTTAAGATCCAAAAATAGAAAATTAGATGTCTGCATAACTAGAATAATAACTAAGCACACAAGACTAAATAAACACCTACATAGAATGAAAATAACAAATGACCCTTACTGTAGATGGTGTCATAATCAAGAAGAAGATATAGAACACTTAATCCTACACTGTCCAAGATTCCACTCCAGCAGAACAAAATTGAAAGAAGCCTTAAGAAAAATCAAAGTAATCAACCCTAACATAAACTTATTATTCACAGGTGCAGATCTCTCCCCAACAGAAAAGTTTTATACTCTTAGACACACCAAAATCTTTTTAAGAAAAACCAAACTAACAGAGATCATATAAAAGAAAGAATAGAAAAGAAAAAAGATCCAGGGGATATAGACTATGCAAAAGTCTAAAACCCTATAAAAGAAGAAAGAAGAAGAAGAATAAGTGGTTGGAGAACCGGTCGAGACTTTGAAGAGTGAACATCAACGTGTAAGAGTGATCAATCTTTAAAAAGTACCGAACTTAGTGAAGTGAAAGCTTATGAACGGAAACTTTGATCTTGATCCAGGTGAAGAACCTGGAAAAGACAATGAAATGATATACGAACACCAGAAAAACAGCAGAAGACGAGACAGTGATAGCGAAGATTGCCCATACACCAAACAAGCAAGAAACGAAGAAACCGGCAAACAGACCACGGAGAACCATACCTACGGAACAGTAACTCAAGGTACCCCTCAAGAAAATGTTATTCTAATACAAATAACAAACAAATCAAATACCTCAAACTTCAATCATCCAATAAGGTTAACTGAGGCCATAAATAAATCAATTTTTCAAAAATACATAATTGAAAATTCATTAAGAGTAATAGGAGATGGAAAAGCCATTAGATTCGAGGTAGTAGATATATCAAAAATTGGACCTCTCAATGAAATTAAATACCTAGGCAACTGGGAAATAACTGTAAGCAACCTGCATCAAATAAAGATCAAGGATGCTCCTATGGAACAATATCCCCAGTAGAAACAGATATAGAAATAGAAGAAATCAAAGAAAAAACCAAGATACTATGGGGGCCAGATACATACATAAAAGATATAACAAGGATTCATAAACCAAGTAAAATATCAGGAGAAAATAAATGGATTCCTACTAAATCCCTGAAAATAACATTCAGAGGTCCATTACCTAACAAATTAACAATAGGTCATATAAGTTATAAGGTATATCAATACACATTCCCAATATCCAAATGTTTTAAGTGTCTAATGTATGGCCATGGGTTGATATCATGCAAAAACAAAATAAGATGTAGTAAATGCAGCCAACAAGATCACAAATATAAAGATTGCAAAAATCCACCTCATTGCTTTTTCTGTAAAGGTAACCACACAGCATACGATAAAACTTGCCCAATTCATCAAAAAGCCCAAGAAATAAACAAAAAAAACACAACACCAAATAACTTAGAAGTAAAAAAACTTTTCCATCACTTAAACCCAACAACACAAAAACAGAATCAACCAATACAAAAAAACATAATAATTACCACAGCAGAAATACACAACTCAGAAACAGATTACAAACAACAAACAGATGATAACACAAACACTATACAACAAACAAACCCAAACATAACACAAACATATGCTAAAATACTAACACAAAAAATAACATAACACCAGCACAAAAACACCCACAAAACAAAAAAATAACACAAACAGAGCAGAAAATACTCCAACTCAATCAACAAAATCAAAACAAAAAAACAGTCAAGAAAAAACAAAAGAACAAACACACACAAAGGAACAAAACATAAAAGACAAGAAACTCACAGAATCCCCCATAACATGGTCTCTACCAACACCACTAAACAAAACCCCAACAATAAAAGAAAAGAAGAAGAAAGAAGAAGAAGAAGAACAAAAAAACAAAGAAGAAAAACCTTCATTTGTTGAAATAACAAAAGGAATTTTCAAATTAATAACTAATATAACCGAAAAATTCAAATCAGACAAAACAATAATTGAAATAATAACAGAGATAATAACTGAAGTTGCTCCAATATTAAAACAAATATCAGTTTGGTTTAATGACTAAAACAATACTATGGAACGCTAGATCTGTAATAAACAAAAAAATAGATATAGAATATCTAATTCAAACAGAAAACCCGGAGATATTCGCAATTTGCGAAACTTGGCTTACAAATAATGACAAATTTGATATAAAAGATTATGATATCATAAGAAATGATAGAATAGAACAAAGGGGAGGCGGCTTAGCAATTTGTATAAAAAATGATATACAATACAAGAAGATTAATCTAAATGAATTACAAAATAAAAACATCGAAACATTAGCTATAAAGATTAGCTATAAAAGAGGATGGCTACACTTACTTTTAATATACAACCCATGTAACAAAGTAAATCAAAAAGATATGGAACACTACATAAACCAATAGAAAAACCAAAACTCATAATAGGAGATTTTAATGCCCATCATCCGCTATGGAATTCAAAAACAAACCAAAATATAACAAATATCACTGGAATAAACTTGTTTAATTTAATAAATCAAAATAACATACTGATGTTAACTCCAAAAGGACAAATTACTAGAATAGATCCGAAAACAGGTAAAGGGTCTACAATAGACCTAGTTCTGGGCACCCCAGAACTGAGTAAATTAGAAGTAGAAGCAAAAATATATGGAGGAAGCGATCACCTTCCAATCATAATAAGAGACATTAATCACAATAGAGAAACAATAGTTAAAGAGGAAAAATGGAAATTCAATGAAGAAGGATGGATAAAATTTAAAGAAGAAATACAAAAAATAGATGTGGACAATATAAAATCACTGAACGAAATAACAGAAATAATAAAAAACATAGGGATGAAACATTTCAGATTAAATAATGATAATAGTAAAAATAAACCAACAAAACCATGGTGGAATAAAAAATGTAAAGAAGTAATAAAACAAAGAAACAAATCATTCAATAAATGGAGAAAAAATCCTAATGAAAAAAACAGAATAGAATACAAAAAACTTCAAATAATAGCAAGAGATACAATAGAAAAGGAAAAAAGAACAAGTTGGTCAAATTTCTGCCACTCATTAGATTTTAGAACCCCAACCAAAAAAATATGGAATTTTATTAAGAAACTTTCAGGCAGTAATAGAATAAATAATTACCCGCTAATAGATAATGATCAGCCAATACAAGAAACAAAAAAGAAATTAAAACTCTTAAAAGAAGAATTCCAAAGTATAATAAACACAAAAACAAAATGCTTAATAACAAAATCAGAATTTAAAAGTTTAATAGAATTGCCAAGTACGAACGGATTAAAAAAGGAGATAACATTAAAAGAATTAATTTCTGTAATAAAAAAGACAAAAAATAATAAAGCTTGTGGCCCAGACAGTATCCCTTATGAATTTTTATAAAATATCCCAAATAACCTACTGGAAAAAATTTTAAACATCTATAATCAGTTGTGGATAAAAGGAGAATATCCTATAGAATTCAAGAAATCACTTGTAAATCCGATATTAAAACCGGATAAAGATCCAGCAAATAAAAAATCATATAGATTCATAAGCAGAATCTCATGTATAGGGAAAATGCTGGAAAGCATAATCAACAATAGACTAATATGGTGGCTTGAAAAAAATAACAAACTAAGTCAAGACATAACAGGTTTCAGACCCAATAGCTCAACATAGATACATTACAAATAATCGATTTTCATATTAAAAAAGCTTATAAAGAGAAAAAATATGCCCTAATAGCATCTCTAGATTTAGAAAAAGCTTTTGACAAGTAAACCACGATGCAATAATAATAAAAGCAGCTAAACTAGGTATAACGGGTACTCCTCTCAGATGGATATCTAATTTTTTAAATAATAGATCCTACCAAATAATAATAGGAAACCAAAAATCCGAGGAAGGAGGAATAAGTAAAGGACTTCCACAAGGATCTCCATTAAGTCCATTACTATTCAACATAATGATGTCAGATCTAAATCTAACAGTAAAAACCAACAAAATAATATATGCAGATGACATAAATATAATAACAATAAATGAAAATCTAGAAGAAGCAAAAATCAATCTAGAAGTAGGATTAAATAAAATAGTAAAATGGGCTAACGACTGGGAGCTTAAATTAAATTTAACTAAAAGCAAAGTAATGTGCTTTACAAAAAAAAGAATAAGACAAATACCAATAATAAAAATAAATAATGAAGAACTAAAATTCACAAATAAACATACAATCCTAGGACTCGAATTCGACGCACCAAAACTAAAGTGGAAAAACCATATTAATAACTTGAAAATTAGATGTACAAATAGAATAAACATAATGAAAAATTATCAACAACAACATGGGGAGCAAACAGAGAGACAATGATAAATTCTATGATATCTACATAAAACCAAAAATAGAATATGGTATAAACAATTTATGGAACAGCAAATGACACAGAAATAAAAAAAATTGAAACAGTTCAAAATGGAGCTTTGAGAATAGCCACTGGATGTTTAAAGACCACTCCAATAAATGCACTCTATGCCCTAACAAATAAAATGTCGATCAAAAATAAACTAAAAGAAAAAGAATTCACCCAAATGTTAAAAATACTAGAAAAAAAAGAAAATACACAAATAAAAAAAATGTTAACAGAAAATATAAAAGAATATAACCCTCAAAAGGATAAAAATAACTTAATCCATAGAATAATAGAAACAAACAAAGAATTGCAAGTGAAAATAAAGATAAAAACAATGTCAAACATAACCCCTATTCCACCTTGGTTTGATATTACAAAAAATATAGAAACAAAATTCTTAGATGAGCAAACAAAAAATATCCCAGAACAAATAATAAGAGCACAATATATAATGTTAGAAAACACACGATATCGAAATTATAAAAAATTATTCACAGATGGCTCGAAAATAAACAACGATTCCACATCAGCAGCAATATACATACAAGATAACAATAAACAACAATATGGAAACTACCAAACAATACAGAAATAATAGAAGCAGAACTCTTTGCAATAAAACAAGGGCTAAAATACATACAAAATAACAAATTATCAAAATCAGTACTATTTACAGATTCTAAATCTGCACTTCAACTAATATCTAACCCGAAACCTAAGAATTCTAAAAGTATGACTTTTGAAATACAAGAATTGATATATACAATGGTAAATCAAAATCAAATAATAATGTTACAGTGGATACCTTCACATAAAAACATAAAGGGAAATGAAATAGTAGATCAAGCAGCTAAAAAAGCACACAAAATAAGATATCCCATAACCATACATGAAGACACAAAAAAACAGATAAAACATGAAAAAAAAAAACCAGAGAAACTGGAAAACTCAGTTAAATACAATTCTTAACACAAAGAATTATCTATTGCAGAACACAGAACCGCAGCCATGGTTAAGATCCAAAAATAGAAAATTAGATGTCTGCATAACTAGAATAATAACTAAGCACACAAGACTAAATAAACACCTACATAGAATGAAAATAACAAATGACCCTTACTGTAGATGGTGTCATAATCAAGAAGAAGATATAGAACACTTAATCCTACACTGTCCAAGATTCCACTCCAGCAGAACAAAATTGAAAGAAGCCTTAAGAAAAATCAAAGTAATCAACCCTAACATAAACTTATTATTCACAGGTGCAGATCTCTCCCCAACAGAAAAGTTTTATACTCTTAGACACACCAAAATCTTTTTAAGAAAAACCAAACTAACAGAGATCATATAAAAGAAAGAATAGAAAAGAAAAAAGATCCAGGGGATATAGACTATGCAAAAGTCTAAAACCCTATAAAAGAAGAAAGAAGAAGAAGAACTTCGGTATAAATAAGTGGTTAGTTATGTATGAAATTGTAAGTTCATTATTAGTTTTATGTGATTTCTACCATGAATAACTCTGAGAATTATGAGGAAGTAAATAGGTATGTAAAATAACAACGTATAAGGAAGAGAAAGGAGGGGCAAAATGATCAGATTTTGCAAGGGTAAGAATGAAAGGGAAAGAGTTTAGGTAAAAGAATGAGGGAATGGCGAATTTAGAGAGAATGATACGAGCTGTCAACAACCTAAATACAACAGAAATTTGTAATCTGTCATTAGTTTTGATTACGATTGTTCAATCACGGTCAAAGGTGAAGAATCTTCCTCTACAATTACTTTGGCCAAATAGAGTTGGGATTGGATATTGTCACTAAGTAAATCTTTTGGCATGACACATGTTATGAGGAGATTGTTGACATTTCTAGTGTCAAGTGAGTGAAGTGTAGTGGTCTTATGGGTGTTTGAATTGTAATGCAGGCTTTTATAAATTAAATTCTTATTTTCCTATTGTTTGCACTGATCATGTATATACAAGAGTCTTGTTTTAGGTTTTATGGTTAATTATAGCAAATGTTTGGATGGAACGTGAATAACTGCCACTGGCAGATGAGGGTTGTCTGTCCTGTTGGTGCTCTGGCAAAGAACAAGACTGCACCCTGTTTACATAGAAGCTTGTTGAATGATTCCAGAAGAAATGGATTGATTTTCTATCATTTTCACATTTTTATCACATCAATAATTTCTGAATACATTTTTTTTTGTTTATTGGGAGTGGGGGGGAGGGTATTGCAAAGGCTTGCACCTACTTGGGATCTTCATTCTCT